TGGGGGAGGGGTAGGGAAAGGGGAGGCGGTGGTGGGGAAGAGACAGAAATCTTTAAGAAAGAAAGAAAGAAAGAAAGAAAGAAAGAAAGAAAGAAAGAAAGAAAGAAAGAAAGAAAGAAAGACCAGACAGATAAAATTATCGATTTTTTAATCTCAAAGTAGCAAAAAAATTAATCTGATGGATCAAATTAATAATCTACACAAAAAAATGTGTACCTAACTGTCCATGGAAGCTTCTGTCCCACGTGGTCCCACAGCCATTCAGTCCCAAATAAATACACAGACACTTATATTAATTATAAACTGTTTGACCTATTGTTCAGGTTTATTACTATCTACCTCTTGCAACCTAAATTATCCGGTAATTCTTGTCTCTGTTTAGTCACATGGCTTGGTACCTTTGGTAAGGCATTCTCATCTTGCTTCCTCTGTTTCTGGATGACAGCCAAGTCTCTCTGCCTTTCCTCTTCCCTGAATTCTCCTAATCTGGTCGCCCTGCCTATACTTCCTGCCTGGCTACCGGCCAATCAGCATTTTATTAAACGAAAATGAGGGACAAATCGCTACAGTTTGCAAGAGCTTTATCCCACAGCCCTTCTTGCAGCATTTTCTGGGGAAAAGGATAGGCAATGGCCAGAGGTTGACAGACTGAACCGTCCCAGAAGCAGAGCAGTAAGTGCATTGTGGAAACACTGCGGCTGGCCACCCAATCTGAGCGAGGGTTACTGTGTGCAGGAGGGAAAGAATCACTCTAAACAATGGTGCACAGCTTGCAACCAAGAGCAGGAAATAGGCTGAAGCTCACAACGCAGCCCAAGGGAGAAAGGGAAAGGTGTTTTCAAGGACTCTGTGCGTTTCTCTCTTCATCCTGAAGCATGGTTTAAGGCATCATGAATGTTTGTCCCTGGATAATTTTGAAAGCCATAATCTATGCTCCTGAAGTCATCAGTAACATCTAAGAAAGAACAGCAGGCAAATACGGGTCAGGGCAAACCCAACAGAACAAAGCAAGGGAGTATGAACATTGCAGCCCCTAGGGAATTCTGTTAGCCTTACTGTGGTCTCAGTGTGGCCTCAAGAACATTACACTAACCACTGGCCTCTCGCTCCCTCGGGGTTGAGAATTCCAAGCAGATATATGGATCATCACAGCTTGTAGATAGACCTTTGAATTGGTAACTTTGCTTTTACTTTTGTCATGTTAACTGAGAGATCTCAAAGCTTGCTGACTAGTTCATGGGTCAAGTTTAATGATCCCCTTGAGTTCATCCAAATCCTGGTGATGAATGATGAAATACAGTGGACCCGATGCACACGGGTGGCATCCATGTTTGAGACAATGCATCAAAATCCATGTGTTCCTTCCTCTTCCCATGCCTGACCTAGAAAAGAGAATAGCACCACCCTGGGCAAAAGCCACTGGGTTTTACTGAGTATAAAAAGCTGTGAACTGAGTCTAGATCTGGAGCCAACAAGTGTGTGATAGCAAAATGTTTTCCGTGAGCCTGGGAGTCAGGGCCTTAGCAACATGCCAAAGGCAATGAAGCTGGTCTCCCGAGGCCAGAGCTAAGCTCTTATGCAACTTTTACTCTTCTCACGCTTTCATCCAGCTCCCCAAAAGGACCTCAGTAAAAGTCGGTCACTCTGGAGGATTCTTCCCTAAGAGGACAGGAAGTCAAGGTGGCCATCTTTTGACCCAGGGAAAAACTTTTCTCCTTGCAAGTAGCTATTCAAACAGGGTGGGCTTCCGGCAACTATCAAAACTGGGGATGCAGGGCTTGCCAAAGACTCTGTCAACCAAAGTTTTTGTTGTGTTTTGTTTCCTTCCTGGTTAGGTCAAGGTCAAGGTGACTTAGTGTTAACAACTGTGGCTTTCTGCAATCCCACCTTCCCCAATTGCACACCATTTTAGAGAAACGGTTCCCGAAAGATCTAAACCACATTGTGAGTCCTCATGCCAAGTGCAAAACAACATTCCCCAGGTTTCACTGAAACTAGGAACCCATCCTGTCCTTATCTTTGTCTTGTAAATATCATTAGAGTCCTCCTAAATTCCCAAAGTAGAGTTGTCTCAAAGAGCGTCTAGCTGGACTCAGGCTATTTGTATACAATTTTGTATGGTTTCCGTGGAGTCACTGAATAAAACTCTGTTAGATTGTTGTGGTTTTAAGGATTAAATGTCAAATCTGCCTTTCTGAATTTGCGTGGAAAATGTATGCTTGCATGACGTTCTTTCCTGCTTGAGAAAGCTTTGAATTTCCACACCCAGCCTTGGATTTGGAAAGCTAGCATTTCTCTCAATAATGACAGTAATAATCATATGGGATTGGAAGTACTGTGCTGGCCTTATACACAAGGAACGGAGGAAAATCAAAGAGCTTGGAGTTAGAAGAATGTGGTCTCCTACTCCCCTCAGACTCTAAGCAAAGGAAACCAAGGAGAGCAGCTTGCCCAAGGCCCCAGCGGCTCTCTTTGATGTCTTCACAACCTCACCTAGTCCAGCTCCCAACCTCTGCTCTAGGTTTTCCAGCCTCCCACTCAGGGCCCCTGCCTTGGGGGCTTCTGCCTGCTTTTGCCTTCTTCTGAGCTGCATTTGTTCCCCAACGATTTAGAGTCTCTCTCAGATGTCTGCTGCAGTGTCGACTTAAGGACCCCTCTAGCCACAAGGAACACAAAAGCATCTGCTGTCCCTCCATGTAGACTACTTCCCTTTTAGCCAAAGTACCTTGAAGTACATTTTTTTTCATTCAAAGAAATTGTCTGCCTCTCTCTGTCCATTGTCAAATGTCTAACCTACAGCAATCGCTCCGTAAATGCTGTACAAGCGCCGCACACGTGGGTGTGACAGAATTGCCAGCATTGAGGATTCTGAATCTGAGTGTCATCATCTCTCACACCAGCACTGGGACCTTACTGGAATTCCCACCCAAATCCGAATACATAATGGCCTACCTAAGAGTTATGCAGATGACCTGAGCTAATCACATGGAGGAATCTTGAGTCTTGGATGCAACCATCAGGGTCCTTTACTTCTTTATGGATAAATCTGTCTGTCTTAATGAAAAACTCAAATCTGGCAGTGAAAGACAGAGACATACTTCTTGGGGAAAACGGTATTTTTAATCTGCTTGATCCATGGTCACCCAAACTTGAAGCCTCTGTCTGCATGACATCTTCCACCTTGACTTTCTACCCAGTGGCTTCTGCAGTGTGTCTGAGTCACACCTGGGCTGTGGCCAGAACCTGCCACTGTGTCTACACCTATGCAAACTGCCTTTCTTTCTAGCTGAAGGGCACACAGGTTCTACTGGTTTTCCATCTGCCTTCTGCCCAGTGCTACCCTAAGACATCTTCAACATCCCTGCCATTTTCACAATGTGAGTCTCTCATGGCCCTTCTTGGCTCACAGTGATGCGCTTGGCGACGCCCCTGGCTGCTTGAGTGACCCTGAAATGCCCTTTCTCTCACACGTGCATGCATGCTAAGAGACAGAAAAGCACAGGCAGTGCCTGCGGACTTGTTATCTCCAGAGTGCTCAGATAACCACTCTTAAGCCATTCTACTGCAAGTTTTCTCATCTTAAATCTTAGCTATGACATAATACTTTGTTCATGGTTTACCGGTAGGGGAGAAAGTATCACAGAATGATGAGAAGGGCTGGCAATAAAGTTCAAACATCTCGGCGTAACTGTTTCTTTGATTTTCCAATTTGACCAGAGCAGCCTTCCTTCCAGGTGAGCTTCCCCACCCACACAGCTCCCACTCCCTACACACCACACAATGTGAACTGCCTACTCCCACAACAGGTTGTTCTCAGTTTACACCCTACATTTACTCGGTACTAGTCAGGTGCCTGCGCTTAGCTGAGGCTGCGCCTGGAGATCCGGCCAAGTGCTTGGTCCCTAGACCTGACCTCATGCAGGATGAAGGGGCTCCATCTGGTGCCCCAGGGGGTTATGTCCATGACCCCTCATCACGCATCACACACTTCAGCCACGGCGCATGCTCTATTAAGAGCTAGAGACCTGTGTTTCCATTTCTTCAAATCCATGCTTTACCCAAGTCCTGACCCCAAGTTATACTTAGAAGTATTCTCCTAAGAATTGCAGCTGCTAGAGGGTTGGCAACGTATTCCAAACAGAATTATCATGTTTTAGATATATTGACTTTGGCTTAAGTAGTCAAATGTTTCAGAGAGTGCACATCTCCCTCAGTGGGCAGAAGTAGAGGAAAGAAGGGGGCAGGGCTTGGGCCCCTACTGAGGGGTATTATAGACAGCCTGAGCCCAGAGATTAGGAAGGTCATTTCTACCACCAAGGAACACAGGCCTTTTTTAGTGAGAACGATGAATGAATTGCTCATGGCACAAAGGAAGTCATACCTTGTAGTGGAGGCAGTGACAGGGGGTTAGGTAGCCTGCTATCAACTTCATTGATAACAAGTAGACCAATCGGGAGAGAGACAGGAGAAAAGGAGTGTGAGGGCAGGGGTTGGCCTGCAGAGCTAGCTGGTCCTCTGGCTGCACTCGCCTGACGCCTGGTACATGTGTGGGACACAGTGTGGCATATATTGTTGCTACATGGCTAGGCTTTGAAACACAAACTCCAGCTCTACAGAAGGAGTCTATCAGGGGGAACTGTGGAGGACCTGAGCAGCAGGGGAAAGTTCAGCGGTATTCCTGAAGGTTGTGGCTGAGGGTGCTGTGGGAACTATCCCTTCACGTCGAAATCTTCAGGGCTGCAGCGGAGTCAGGCTGCTGAACTGCTGTGCACCATCCTTTAGCCATGGAGAAGTTTCAGAAAGATTACTCTCAAATGGAGTCTTGGTCTTTATCCAGGGTCTTGAAGAACAGAAAGACACTGGTAGACAGCTCATCAGATACTTAAGATTGTGGATTTTACCACGTGGGCAAGAGAGAGTCCACTTTATCTACAGATTTGAAAGTAAAGGAGTAACCAAATCTGTTATCTACAGATTTGAAAGTAAAGGAGTAACCAAAACAAGGGACAGGACAGAGGAAGACCGACAGGCTAGAGCCTCTCTGGTAAGAAGCAGGGAGTCTGGGAAGAAATGCTCTACTTCTGCCCAGAAAGAAGAGCATTATGTGAGGAAAAGTTCATGGGTCCCTCCTACTCCCTGGAACATGCCCCAGAATATGGCCACCTACCTGCTGTGTCTCCGTGAGGTAGCTCTCTCAGAAGGCCCAAAGCCTCAGAATTATGCTATCCAGAATGTCGATAGAAGTTTTCCTCCCATATTGATGAGGTCCACTTGGAGATCCACAGTGAAGAGAGTTGGCTACTGCAGAATAATGGACATGAACACATCTGACAGTGTTGCAGTCCTGGGAGGAAGGCAAAGGTATGAATTTGGAAAGCCGTCATTTGGTGTCAGTCTGGACCTTTATCACGCAAGCGAGTTATCCAGAGGAGGCTTCACTCAGCCGGATGCCATACCATCCTTGTTGAGCTGAAGTTGTCTGCAGTATGTCCCAGGAGCTCACAGAAGATCGTGGAAAGGACTGGAGCCGAACGCGGAGCCCTGGGTTAGAAGCAAAGTTTTGCTCACACGCACTGTCTGCAAATGTCTATTCCTCGGCTCACCCCACAGCAAGCAGTTCTCAGGAGACTTCTTTCCTGACCCGGCCACTGGGTCCTGGGGCTACCTAAGTGGAGAAGACATGCCTGTGTCTCTGGGAGCTCCTGGAACACTCAAAGATACCAGAAACGAGGGGAAAGGCTATTCAGTTCCCTCAGCGCCACGACTGTTTCTCCTCTTCTCCACAGCAGCCTGGCCCTCAGCTGAGCAGCCAGACAGCTGCGTCTCTGAGAGCTCAGACAGCAGCATGTTTTCCTGTGATTCCCTCCTGAGCACCAGGCTAACCCAGACTCCCTGCTTCTTACCAGAGACGCTCTAGCCTGTCGGTCTTCCTCTGTCCTGTCCCTTGTTTTGGTTACTCCTTTACTTTCAAATCTGTAGATAAAGTGGACTCTCTCTTGCCCACGTGGTAAAATCCACAATCTTAAGTATCTGATGAGCTGTCTACCAGTCCAGTACTAATTTGTACTCTTGAATATAGAATAAACTTACTGTGGCTGCTCTCGATTTTGAGAAACATCCGAGTCTGCCATTTTCCTTGGTTTATTCTAATCTGCCTTCCCAATAGATGTGTGTCATTTCTACACCTACCCCAGTCCACACTCATCAGCTACCATCATTCTTTCTCCTTCTCTACAGCTCAGTGAGGTAGAAATGATAAATAAACAAATGTTTACATTTAAACAGTGATTATTTGATAATATACATACACCGTAAAATGATTTTCACAATCAAGTCAATTTAGATATACATGACAACATATGCGTGTTTGGATACGGTGAATACACTAAGATACGTTCTTAGCAAATTTCAAGTATATGAAGTAACTACTGTCACCATGATGCACAGGAGACCTCAAGAACTTGCCCATTTTATAACTTAAATATTATACTTTCATTGACTATTTTTCCATTTCCCATACCCCTTTCTCTTCTCTCTCCTCCTATGAGGATGATGTTTATATTCTACATGTTAGAAGAATCATTTAACTGTTTGACGCTCCATGCCTGGCTGATTTAGTTTAACATATATCTTTCTGGCTTATTTAGGCACATTATTGAACATGGCAGAAGAACAGTATTCCTAGGACTGAGTGCGTGTGTGTGTGCTGTGTGTGCGCTTGTGTGCTGACATACACCCTGCTCATTAGTGCACTGCTTTGAATGTCCACTTATTCACTCACCACAGTCACTAAGGTCACAGGTTCCTAAGGCCAATATGGAGTCTCAGCTTAAGATGAAAGTCGTTCATCATAATACTCTACAACGTATCCTTATACCCATAGATGACTGTTGCTCTCATCTCCTCGTTGAAGAAGCTTCTCTTACAACAAACAGAAAACCATGACTGGGCATGGCTGGTACCCCCATAATCAATAGATTCTTCCATAATCTAGTGAACACATCTGCATTGTAGAACATTGTAGAAGACTGAAGGACCCAGAGGACCACAAAGAGAATGTGTCTCCTAGAAATGCCTAAACAGGACCTGAACAATGACACCATCACGAGACTTGTTAAGGCAGAAAATGGAAAAATCACCAGAGTTCCCCCCTCTAGACAAAGAACAAATAATGACCACTGAGGGGGAGTTAGCCCTTTCTGGGGATGGACTTTTTGTTGTTATTGTTTTTTTTTTTTTTTTTTTTTTTTTTTTTTTTTTTTTTTTTTTTTTTTTTTGAGACAGGATTTTTCTGTAGCTTTGGAGCCTGTCCTGGAACTAATTCTTGTAGACCAATCTGGCATCGAACTCACAAAGATCTGCCTGCCTCTGCCTCCCAAGTGCTGGGATTAAAGGTGTGCACCATCACCACCTGGTGAGAAAGGACTTTCTAATTGACTATCCAATGCAAAATAGTTAGCCATGAAATCATGAACACATAAACAGCAAAACAGACTCAGAAGGCGGTATTTAGCTATTTGTACATCTCTCTTTGTCTTTCTCTCTATCCCTTCTTCTAGTGTGTGTATGTGTGTATGTGTGTATGTGAGAGAGAGAAACAATAGCAATTAAAGAAAAAGAAGTCATCACATTGAGAAGGAGTGAAGGGAAGATGTGGGATGAGGGAGTAAAGGGAAGGAGGAAAAGAAATAATTATTTATATTTTAATTAAAACATATTTTACAATTAAATTAAGAAGTAAAAATTTAAAAAAAAATCAAAGTCATCCACTGGAGAGAGATATGTATATGAGTAAAGGGCATTGCCTACAGTGGACTTTGTGCCAAAGAGAAATCTTGCATGCCAGTGTGAACTGAGAAGAGGTCCTGCATGCCAGTGTGAACTAAAGAGAAACCCTGAATGCCAGTGTAAACTGAGGAGAAATTCTGAATGCCAGTGTGAACTGAGGAGAGGTCCTGCATGCCAGTGTGAACTGAGGAGAAATCCTGAATGCCAGTGTGAACTAAGGAGAGGTCCTGCATGCCAGTGTGAACTGAGAAGTCCTGATGCCCTCTCCAGTCTTCTCTCTCTCTCTCTCTCTCTCTCTCTCTCTCTCTCTCTCTCTCTCTCTCTCTTTCTCTCTCTCTCTCCTTCTTCTGGAGAGGCAGCTTCTGCCTCTCTCTCTTCTCGCCTCCTCTTCTCCTCCCCCTTCACTTTCTCTTTCCCCTCCATAACCCACTAAGTAAACTCTATACCCCATCTCTCTCTGCATGGTGTATCTATTTGTCTCTCGCTGCTGTGGTCTCCTACTTGTTGCTGATGCTGCTGTCAAGACCTTGGGTGACCTGCTGCTGCCCCTCGTGGGATCAGTCCCCTATCATATCTTTATAAATGATAACAGAAACTCTACCTTAGGAAGAGGAAAATGGATGGTACTTCAATTTAAAAATAATACTCCCAAGTTAGAGTTCTGGGCTAGGTATAGAGATCGATAGGGAGTCATTTACTATAGTTAGAAAGACTCTAAAATCAGGCAGGGCCTGGGCTCATATCCCCCACATTTTCTCTAGATTTCAATCTTCTCACATAAAATATGGACTGCTTGGAATGTTTACAAATTTAAATATGACATTAAATAAAAAAATAACAGAAAGAATAGCGTGAGGATAAGGCACAACCCTGAGGCTGGCACTGTGACTTCCTTGCATGTTTGTGGTGTGTTTCTGTCTCTTCAGTTCAGATGAGAGGGCCTTGGATGACAAGGTTTGATGGTCACCATTGTGTGCGAGAGGACTAAACTGAGGTGGAAATCAAGATCATTGTCCAGATCAATTGGGACAGTTGAAAGTTGTAATGGCACTGAGGGGGGCAAGGAGGCCAACTTTGGATAGCTGCTCTTGGCCTCCCAGGCCCTGCCCTGATGCCTTCTGATGGGATTCGTGCAATAACCCTGACAAGCCAGGGAGGAGGAGGAGGACCTGGCGCTCTTCTCTCCCTCCCTCCTTTGTCTTGGACTAGTCAATGGAGACTGTGGCGGCAACATGAAAAGGAATTGCAACAATTCTTCCTCTTTTGAAGTTTTGTTTTTCTTTCCCTCCTTTGAAACATCGTTTTGTGTCCAGCTGTTCCACGAGTTTGTGCTCGCAGTAGGACCTTGAATCAACCCCACAGCCTCTCACTCTGAGGCTGATGGAGGTGATTTGGGAGGCAATGACTTTAGTTTTCTCACCATGAAAGGCAATGCTGATATAAAGCTTGTTCTAGGTTGTTACAAGGAACAAATTAAATACCTACGGAACTCATCACTCAGATTATGATCTCAGCACTACTTCCTAAATTCTACTTTCTTTCCTGTGTGTGGCTTACACCATAATCTAGCTTCACACTTCCTAGGGAACAGAGGGGCAACAACCACTTCTTCAAGGGGGGAGAACGGCACCAAAGAAACATAAACAACACAAAGGAAGACACTCCCTCATTAAGACACCCGCTAGATGGAAAGGTTAAGTCAGCATATAGGACATGAATAAGAAGACTGTGCAATGTCAGCCAAATGACAGGACTGTAAAACATGGAGTAGAAGACCCGTGTCACTCCCCAAAGCGACTTACTCAGAAGCAGCTGCAGTGTGTGCTGGGAGGAAAGATGATAAGCACCGGAAGGTCAGGTTTAGGAAGCCTTCACCGAGTTGAATCAAACTGCACTAATATAAGACAATAACAGCAAACTCAAACGTAGAGGAAGTCTGCTCCTCAGTTACTACTCTCACTTCAGCCAGAAGTCAGGGTCAATTGTTGAAATAGGAGCGGCAGGGCTGCGTCCCCGGCACCCGGCTGCCCGCATGGCTAGTTTATACCCAGAAATAATTACACGGAAACTGTATTCTTTCAAACACTGCCTGGCCCGGATAGATCCAGTTACTTATAGAAAAATCTTACATATTGTTCTAACCCATTTCTAATATTCTGTGTAGCCCACGAGCTGGCTTACCAGGGAGGATCTTAACCTGCGTCTGTCTGGAGCGGGAGAACCATGGCGACTCTTCCTCTAACCTTCTTTCTCCCAAAATTCTCCTCTGTCTACTCCGCCTACCTAATTTTCTGTCCTATGAGGGCCGAGGCAGTTTCTTTATTAATAAGAAATCACTCCCACATCAGTCAATCACTGTCCCACAAGCTGGACAGGGTGACCTTACCGTCCAGAAGAGCAGGGACACGGATCTCAGGTTCTCACTTCAGGAGGCCTTACACCTCAACTCCTCTGAGGACAAACAGTTGTAGCACACAAACCTGGCACAGCCAGCGCCGACACTGCTTGTACTGGATTCTTCATTTTTAGAAGACGCTGAACATAGTGGACAATGAGGACTACTGAGAACTCAAGAACAATGGCAATGGGTTTTTGATCCTAACGCACGTACTGGCTTTGTGGGAGCCTAGGCAGTTTGGATGTTCACCTTACTAGACCTGGATGGAGGTGGGTGGTCCTTGGACTTCCCACAGGGCAAGGAACCCTGATTGCTCTTTAGGCTGACGAGGGAGGGGGGCTTGATTGGGGGAGGGGGAGGGAAATGGGCAGCGGTGGCGGGAAAGAGACAGAAATCTTTAATAAATAAATAAATAAATAAATAAACAAGAAGACCTATTGGTTTCGATGTAATCATCAAAGGCAAATAGGGAAAAAAAAGCCCTAATATTATTTCATAGTTTAAGGGGAAATTAAGGGACATCTGGAATTAACTTGGAGTGGGAAAGATGCTGACCTCATGGACAAAGCAGAGGAAGAATGCAGTCGCAGGCAGAGCTGAGCACTGGGGAGGGACCGAGGACACAGGCACTAAGGCTTCCCCTGAAAAAACAAACCTTTCTTCTTGCTATGCTCATGACATGCTCGGATACACTTTAATTCCAGAGGGAAATGGGCTGGTACGAAAGTTTAGAATTAGTTGACTAGGCCTGGAGCCTTGGTTTTCACTAAAACAAAGTATTTGGAGAGGAGAAAAAAGTGACTTCATTTGTGGCCCTGCATTCAAAGGTGGTAGGTAAAATACAAGATGCCAGATATCAAACAAGCATCAAATTATGTGTCAGCGTAATGAAATAATAATATATAAAACCAGAACACTCTTAATTAACTAAAAATTATTTGAATTTAAAATACAGATACGTCACTTCCTGTCTTCCTCCCTCCAAGCCCTTCCATGTACAATCCCACCTGCTTTCTCCCTCATGACCATTGGTGAGTTCCTAATAGAACATCCCCATTGTCTCAGTGTGTGGGTGCACCCCTCGCGGTCCTGAGTTCCTTGCTCGTGCTCTCTCTTCTTCTGCTCCTGATTTGGACCTTGGGATTTCAGTCCAGTGCTCCAATGTGGGTCTCTGTCTCTGTCTCCTTTCATCGCCCGATGAAGGTTAAAATCCAGGAGGATGACTATATGTTTTTCTTTGGGTTCTCCTTCTTATTTAGCTTCTCTAGGATCACGAGTTATAGGCTCAATGTCCTTTATTTATAGCTAGAAACCAATTATGTATGAGTGAGTACATCTCATGTTCCTCTTTTTGGGTCTGGCTTACTTCACTCAGGATAGTGTTTTCTATTTCCATCCATTTGCATGCAAAGTTCAATCCTTATTCTTAAATTAACACACAAACATGTTCACAATTATTATTTGGAGTGAATATATGTATATATCAGTCCATTTATGTATGATTTGGAGGCTGACCACTAGTATTAGAAAATCAATAAGAGAGTTTTCCTAGAGCTGGGGCCTGTGGAATTTCCCTCTTCCATATTAGTATGGCAACCTACATTGACTCTGTCCAGATCTTGTTTAGGGAGCCATGATGCCAAGACTTTACAACTGAAGCTTCCTGACGTTTCCAGGAGAGGAACTCTCCAAGCACAATTCCCGTTCCTCTGGCTTTTATCTTTCCCTGCCCTCCTCTTCCATTTCTGTGCTTCAGGTGCAGGAGTTGTGTGATGTATGGAGTGGTTGGAGTTTGGCACCCCACAGTTCATTTTTCTCCTCATTTTGATTGGCTGTGGTTTTCTGCAATGGTCGTATAAGACATCTGTAGCCTATGTGATCCAAGTTCAATTAGGTGTCTTGTATATGTCTTTGAAGAACTGGAATCCTTGCTTGAGGTTCTCATATTTAACAGCAGTGATAGAAATACTGACACATGTAGATGGACTTCTCTTCTGGGCTACCAGCTCACAAAAAAAATCACACGGGGACTTATTAGTCATGATGAAAACTCAGCCAAAAGTTTATTTCTACCTGGCTTCTCTCACTTAAGTTAATGTATTCCTATTCATTTACAGAGTTCCACAAGGCTCATGGCTTGTTATCTCATCTCCTGCATGTCTTACTTGTTCTCTACCTCTTAGTGACTCCCTTACGACTCTGCCCTTCTTCCTAGCAGTCTCTCTGTCCCAAAAGTCCTGCCTAGCTGCTGGCTCTTCAGCTTTTTATTAAACCGATCTGAGTGACACATGTTCACAGTGTATAAAAAGATCACTCCACAACAGACACATCCGTGGAGGGTCTAATAGATAGCAGAGGGACTGACTTCTAGAACATTCTCAACATAGGAACTATGAACATGTCTGTGCTTTAATTTAAGAATAAGGGTCATGCTGGTACACCTTCGTAGTCCCATTGCCTTGCACATCTGATTTGGACTGATTTCTGTTATAATATAAAATGAAATAAAAATGAAAAATTTCAATAATAAAACCTACCAACAGGGACCTAGTTTATAAGTATTCATACCTCTGAATGAAGTCAGATTCATCTATATTGGCCCTGCTGCACCAGCATGGCTGATTTGCTTGCTAGAGATGGATGACAGAGCAAGCTCTATCAAGGGCTTCCTCAGGAAGATCTGCAAGTGTGAATGCCCCTCATAGCTAGCCACATACCAAAATGAAGAGTCCGCAGGTCTGACAGTGGCTATCTTAGGGTGTGCTTCCCTCCAGACACTGGGCTCAGACATATTTGCCCTCAGGATGCCTTTTATTGAAAGATGATATTTTAGTGGAATTGCATGTGATGGACTGAGTGCCATGTCCTCCAGGCGCATCAGTCTGAACACACGTGGTCGGAAGGTGCCTGTTCCTTAAAGGCTAAATCACACTCTACTGTATGTGCATGCTCTAGTACAGGGTTTCTGCTGTGTGTCTATTGCTTTCCTGTTTGTTTGCTTGGAAACAATCTCCCTATGTAGACTGTAATGATCTCAAACTTGAGATTCTCCTGACTCAGCCTCCAGAGTGCTGGGATTATAGTCATGTACCAGCCTGTATACAGACCGTTATCTCTAATCTATCCACCTACAGATGGGCATATTTTGGCTATTGTTAAGTAATATTGTACACACATTTGTAGATAATCTCGCGGTCCTGATTTCAATATGCTGGACAGATCATACTGAAGCTCAGTGGGCATGCTGAAGTCAGTTCGTCCTAGAAGCCAGGCACACAACACAGTGCCATGAGCTTGTGATGCAGTATGCTATGCTTAAAACATAAGAAGGGGTCTCATGTTGAGTGTTTTGCTGCAATAATAAACAAACAAACAAAAGATCACAGAGAGAGGCGCTACCTTCATTGTGGTGATAGTATCACAAAGAGACACATCAGAATAAAACCAATAATTATATACCATTTCATTAAATTGCATCTAAGATTTTTGCTTAAAAATCTTAAGCTATTCAAAAGCATTTAATTTAGGACATTTGCCTTAAATAACAGTGCCTCTTTATCTAAGCTGACTCCTCAGGTTGCAGGAAGGAGGGGATGTTCTTGTGGCTTGTTTCCCAAAATGTCCTTGGGAAAGGCAGATTACTGGCATGGCATCTGATGCTGACAGTTCTGTTTTGTTTTTTTTTCTGTGTGCTGATTTCTGGTAGCTGATAACCACAATGAATACGCCTCAAAGCTTCCCCTGGATGAGGTGTGTACGTGCTTCAAACAGAACAGAAAAGACAGAGAGGAGGGACTAGTAAATGAAATTCCATGAATTTGCATAAATATGAAAATACATCATCATGAATGATAGAACTTAGCCCATGATCATGTCAAGTTTTGCCCTACATTTTGGAGGGCAAAATTTATTATTTGCTAGAAACCAGGAAGAGAAATGGCATTAAAGTCTAGTCATACCATCTGTATAATCTGAACTTTCAATCCAATGAGTGTGTTTAATGACAGCAAACTAACACAGCCCAGGAAGAGAAATGTACTCATTCCAGGACGTGTGGGCAGTTGTTAAAAAGCTCATCTTGGAAGCAATTCCCTGAACCTCAGACCTGGGCAATCCCAACCTTTGGCTTTTCCTTGCTAAGATCCAGCTTACCCAGCATTATTTCCCTATAGGCATAGCTCTCAGCGTGAAGCGAGAAAACGCTATGGATCTCATCAGCCAGATTGTCCTGTTGGGTTTGTTCTGGTTTCAGCTCAATCATGCAGTTCTTAAATGTGGCTTCTTCTCATCTCTACTGGAAAAAAAAATCAAAATCATAGTAGATGTGATATAGAGCTAACTGAATATGCCTAGCTTTTCCCTTCAGTGCTAGAAACTAGAACAGGGAATCTTTGGGGACGACAGTCCCAAAACATCATCAATTTTCTCTTCTCCCCGATTAATAAACAACCCAGTTAAAACTGCAAGGACTACATTTGAATTTATTCAAAAGCAGCTTACCTTTCTTTCATGATTTTGCCCTCCCTCCCCAGAATCGCCAAGCCCCGTCTGTGATGTTGAGGGTGTGGCTGGTGTGCAGTGGGGAGGAGGGAAATGTTCACACATGGCTGCTATCAGTTGTGCAAAGTCTCGCTCTCACTGGTGAGATCTGAGCGTATCTCAGCTCTTGGCTGACCATGGTCAGACGTTCACAAAGAATGATAGGAGATGGGTGGAAGGGGATCAAGCTTTGTAGCTTGTGCCTAAAAGAATAGACCCAAAAGGCCTGTCAGCCATCTCTGAGGCTCCCCGCGGCAGGCACATT